TTATGTTTAATGTATGTACCAAATTTGAATGAAATCCGTCCATGCATAACTGAGATCCGGGTCCGGAATGGTGAAAATGTGCGATTTCAATGCATTTTCGACCTTAAAGCGGCCGCCATTTGGCTATCGTTAATGAGATCATGAAACAAATGCACATACATATTTGTGACATGATGTACCTTGTGTGTGTGAAGTTTGAACTCGATCAATCCAAGCATGTCTCAGATACGGATCCAGAACTGAATTCTTTAAAACAAAATGGCCGCCAGTCGGCCATTTCGAACCCGATCCAAAAAAAAAATGACGTGCATCAAGGTCCTATTATGTTTAATGTATGTACCAAATTTGAACAAAATCCGTCCATGCATAACTGAGATCCGGGTCCGGAATGGTGAAAATGTGCGATTTTGATGCATTTTCGGCCTTAAAATGGCCGCTATTCGGCTATCGTTAATCGGATCATGAACAAAATGCATGTGCATATGTCCCATATAATGTGTGATGTATGAGTGAAGTTTGAACTTAATTGGTCCATGCATGTTCGAGATACAGGTGATCACGGACGCACGGACGGACGCACACAGGGCAAAACATAAGTCCCCGTTTTTCAATCTGGTAATTTTGTCACGTAATACTTTGCACTCGGTCAACAGGTGTTGTCTTCGCCATTGAATCGTTCACCGTCGCCACTTACCGGTATTACTGAGACATAATTTCCCTCCAAATGAGCACACCTTTCGACGTAAAGTTTGTATGGCCCCAAAGTGTGATAATGCGTTTCAAACATTAAAAGGTGCATAACTAAAACCACCCATATTATGCTATCCAGATTTCGTACGATAGGGAAGTATATGTCAAACGAGGTGCAAATCTCGGACGATTCCAATGTATTGACGAGCACACACAAATTATCGTAGTCGATAAGTGATTTATAAAACATTTATGTAAACACTGTATTACAATTACTCTCAGTATATAAAATATTGTATATTTAACTACTAGTATTTGTATTCTTTGTAGATTAGATCATTTAAAGAATTATATTGTTTGTAATTTAAGCTTCATCCACTAAGGGACAGTTCAAATTTGTCAAAGGAGGATTGTGTTATGATAGCGACTTCACGTTCGCGTATGACACAGCAACTGTGACAGGCCACATATACGAATTAGTTCTATTGTACATGACGCTGACTGAACTACCTCTAGTCTGTGTTGTTAAATTAAAACTTTCTCGCGCGTGCGCAAGTGACGACCCCCCCCCGCCTTAAATGATATTTGTACATATTTCACAGTTAGAAATACAAACTGCAATTAGCAACTTGAAAAATAAAAAATCTCCAGGCATTGATAATATTAGAAATGAGATGATTAAAACAGGGAGAAATGTGCTCATCAAACCTCTACAAAAAATGTTCAATCTCATCCTAACGAGTGGCCATTTCCCTAGCTCTTGGAATTTGGGCATTATCACTCCAATATTTAAAAAAGGGGAAAAATCTGATCCAGGCAACTACAGAGGGATAACTCTCTTAAACAGTCTTAGCAAGCTCTTCACAGCCGTATTGAAACAAAGGTTGACCAAACATGTAAAAAGCAATAATATCATAATTAAAGAGCAAATTGGTTTTCTTCCAAAATTCAGCACAGCGGACCATATCTTTGTTCTCAAACAGCTAATAACAAAATATCTTAATAAAGGAAACTATTTATTTGCATGTTTCATCGACTTTAAGAAGGCGTTTGATTCCATTTGGCACCTCGGTCTTTTATATAAACTTCACAAAAACAAAATCTCAGGAAAATTTCACAACATAATTAAATCTATTTATCAGAATGTCACTGGCTGTGTTAAACTAAAAGGTGGTTTGACTGCTAGCTTTCCAGTTCAAAGGGGTATCAGACAGGGAGATGGTTTAAGCCCACTCCTTTTCAATCTTTTCATTAATGATATCAAATGCCAGATAGAATCATCCAATAATGAACCCCCTTTACTTGTAAACAATCATTTGTCATGTTTGATGTATGCGGATGACCTCCTCCTCCTATCACAATCTAAAAATGGTCTGCAAAATGCAATACGCACAGTGGAAACATACTGCAAACAATGGAAACTAGATATCAATGTGTCAAAATAAAAAATTATCATTTTCAACAAGCAAGGTAAAATATTAAGTAAGTTCAGATTTCAAATCAATAGCCAAAAATTGGAAAACGTCTCATCATACTCCTACCTTGGTGTTAAAATCAATGCTACTGGTAAACTGAACAGAGCTCAAGAAGACCTTAGTCACAGAGCAATGAAGGCACTTTTTAAACTAAAACAATTACTCTATGCAGACCCAAATATTCCAATCAAAACACATCTGAAATTGTTTGATGCTATGGTTAAACCAATTTTACTCTACTGTAGCGAAATCTGGGCAAGCGATATTATTAATATGCACTCAACAGACTTGTTTAAACAATCCTTGCCTATGGAAAATTTACATCACAAAATGTGCAAGTACCTACTACAAGTAAACTGTAAAGCCACAAACTTGGCATGTTTACTTGAACTGGGAAGATATCCACTTATCATCTCAAGCATCAAACGTATGATTAACTACTGGCTGAAAATAAAACATATGGATGAAACCACTCTG